TACAACTGGCCAGTGAACACAGAAGGCAAGCTACACTTGATTGTTATATGGTACGAAAATCAAGCCAAGCGCCTCAACAAGTGGGGCGTCACAGGAAACCCAAGCACCTTCAAGTGAGTTGTCACAGGCAAGCCAAATGCCTTCAACCAGGTAGGCTTCCGCAGCTGGCAGTCAAAACTAACTTTGCTTTATGAACTGTACAGTAATTTTAAGTGTTAATTTTAGTGTTGTGTTAGTATAGGTTTTGTAAATTGTCAAGAATTTTTAACTTCAAGATGTGTGGCATCAATCAAGAAGATGAACAACAACAAGGTAAGTTGAGGTTTCTAGTTGAATATTTAATATGTGGCAAGGCAATTCAAATTATGTTGTTTGTAGTATAAAAATAGTTGGAAATGGTTAATTTTGGACTCAGAGGTGAAAAAGTACCATTATCTGGAACACGTGACTATCCGGCTAGGGGTCCTTCCCATATAGTCAGGATAATCGAGTGGAGATGGTATATGAAGTTTCTGAAAATAAGATCAAAGGGAATGAAACAAATGACAATTAAAAAGTCTTTTGCAAAGGTTCCAAAAAACGCTTGCATTGCCTCACCTGCAACTAACTCATCACATGTTGACCTAAATGTGTCAACATCTGAGGTTACCTTATCATCAATATTCTCCACTTCAGGGAACCCAACACCATCAACATCCACCACCACCTCTTCCATGTAAATAACTATGCTACATCAACAATGATCATCAGGACTTCTTTCCCTAACGAGTACAAACAAAATACTGTCGCATTTATGCTATGAACCTGTCGATTTTTCCCTTAGATTTCTTTCCAACACTTCTCGTTTATATATTTTTCCTACATTTCTTATTTACGAACTTACACGGTAACCGACAGGTCTCATCCCCCAAGGGGTTCGTAAAACTAGTGGTCCTCTGTATTAAGATTAACCACTGGACTGCGCCAACCGAGAAAACTCGGTCGGTGGGAAACTGCGCCAACCAAGAAATCTATTTTATATTATTTCGTACCCATTCAAAATGTGTGCGTGGTAGATGGTGTACGAACTGGACTCTTAGGACCTCCAGTGAGAGGCAGCCATCTTTGAAAAAATTCCAAGAAAGCCCTAGAGCTTCTAAGTGGGCTAGCACTGATTGAGCAACCATGGGTGGCACATGCGCCTCTGGCTCCCAAACACCTGTCTGATGCTGTGTTGAAAGATTGTGCTCTGTTGGTGAAATTCAGATCTTATTGTTTGAAGAACGTAAGGGTCATGATAATGGTGAAGCTAGGCGCAATAAGGACCTAACACAGAGGTCAGATGCATGTGATACAGCACCTATGAGGACAATACAGCAAGAGTATCCAGTTGTAGCTCTGAGCACCACCCTTGCCCATCTATGCCATCTCCAATTTATATAGATGATATACAGATGAATCATTTTCTGTATTCAGTGATAATGCATCTGATACAAGTAGCATAGATGAACAGTGTTAGCGACTTTCATGGTGGTGTTTTCCATAGATATTTTCAAGAATAGCTGAATCTCTTCTAGATTAATAATAATAATAATAATAATAATAATTTTTATTTAGGTAAAGGTACATACATAAAGAGATTTTACAAAGTTTGTTGGCTTTATAGATAAGAGCTAGTACATACAATGCCTAAAGCCACTATTTCGCAAAGCGTTTCGGGCAGGAAAAAAACTACTGACTAAAGCTTAAAACTAATGGGTAAAAAGAAAAAAATGCGTTGAGTACAAATAAAAATAGAGGTAAAAGAGGGGGGAACATTGTTGAAAAAACAGCACAAATACAATTACAAATTATTACAGAAAATTACATTAAAACAGCGTTGATTTGTAAAACAAAAAAAAAAACAAATAACATACATGGGTTGACAATAGAGAGGTAAGGTAGGTTACAGGGAATTTATTAGGTATAGCTTCGTTTTTAACTTAAACTGGTTGAGAGAGGTACTGTCTTTAACATGGTTGGGAAGGTCATTCCACATCCTGGGCCCCTTGATTTGTAGAGCATTTCTGGTTTGATTAAGTCGTACTCTAGGAATATCAAAACTGTATTTATTTCTGGTGTGGTGCTCATGGGTTCTGTTACAACCTTCTATGAAGCTTTTGAGATCAGGATTGGCATTACAATTTAGCGTTTTGTATATGTATAGTACACATGAGAGAATGTGCAGTGACTTAATGTCTAACATATTCAGGGATTTGAATAGGGGTACCGAGTGATGTCTGGGGCCAGAATTGGATATTGTCCTAATAGCAGCTTTGTGTTGAGTAATTAGAGGACGTAAGTGATTTTGGGTAGTAGAGCCCCAAGCACAAATACCATAGTTGAGATATGGATAGATAAGGGAGTAATAGAGAGTCACCAGGGCAGGGCGTGGTACATAATATCTGATCTTAGAAAGAATGCCCACAGTTTTTGAAACTTTTTTTGATATGTTTAGAATGTGTCCCTGGAAATTCAGCTTGTGGTCAATGAGAATGCCAAGGAATTTGCCATCTAATTTGTTACAAATTTGGGTATTGTTTATTTTGAGATTTATTTGATTAGAGGATTTATTGCCAAACAGAATATAGAAAGTTTTGTCAATGTTAAGGGTGAGTTTGTTGGCAGTTAGCCACAGATGGACTTTATTTAGCTCAGTATTTACTGTGGCATTTAGAGCAAGGGGATCAGGACTGGAGTAAATGAAGGTTGTGTCGTCAGCAAATAGGATTGGTTTGAGGTGTTGGGAGGCATTTGGAAGGTCATTAATGTAGATGAGAAAGAGGAGAGGGCCAAGTATGCTGCCCTGGGGAACACCAATGTTGATGGGTAGGGTGGGAGAAATTGTATTATTCACAGAAACACATTGGAGCCTGTCAGTAAGGTAGGATTTGAGGTATTGTAGGGAGTGTCCTCTGACACCATAATGATGTAATTTAAGAAGAAGGTTTTGGTGGTTGACAGTATCGAAAGCTTTACGCAGGTCCACAAATAACCCAACAGGGAACTCATTTTTACAAGAGCTGTATGAATCGAGTTAAGCATACTAATAAGTGCATCGTTAGTGCTTTTTTTGGGCCTGAAGCCATATTGGCAAGGGCTAAGTATATTGAGTTTGGTTAGATATGAGTAAAGCTGCTTATAGATTAGTTTTTCAAAAATTTTTGACAAGTTTGGCAGGATTGATGTAGGTCTGTAGTTGTTAACATCTGTGAGATCACCACATTTGTGGACAGGCGTTACTCTCGCTTTTTTTAGAATATCTGGAAAGGTTTGGAGTTCAAGTGACTTGTTGAAGAGCAAAGCAATAGCAGGGGCTAAAGATCTGGAGGCTTTTTTGTAGATTAAAGTTGGTATCTCCTCAAGGGCACCAGACTTGGTTTTAAGGGAAAGGATTATCTCATTGACGTCAATGGAATTAATAGGCTTTAGGTACAGAGACTGGGGATAGTTCCCTGTAAGATAGTCCTTAATGTCAGTACTGGAAGATGGAATATCATTAGCAAGGGATGAACCAATGGAAGAGAAGAACCTATTGAACTCAATAGCAGAATCAGAGGCTGAAAGCTGACCATCGTTATTAGACAGGAGAGTCGGTTTGTTATTTAAAGACTTCTTTGATCCCAATATTTGTGAAATTGTTCTCCATGTTTGTTTAATGTTGCTCTTTATTTGGGTAAATTTATCTTCGTAGTATTTAGTTTTGGCTCGTCTAATTATCTTAGATAGCAATAATGCGTAATTCTTTGAGAATTCTTTGGAGACAATCCCTAACCTATACTTTTTCTCAAGGTCATGTTTTTTATTAATAGATTTAAGTATTCCCTTTGTAAGCCAGGGCCCTTTGTAAGCCAGATTGACAGACACTCTTTGATGTTGGCTGAATCGCTCTCAGAATGCCTGAATCTCTTCCAGAATGACCGACACTCTTCGAAGTTGGCTGAATCTCTTCCAGTGTGGGGACCTTACAAAACGACCGTTTCAAGACTACCTCACAAATTGATCTTTTCCTTTAATCTTTTCAAGACTACCTTATGCTTTACAAGCTTGGCTACATACCACCTACAAGTACTAAAGCCAAGGGTGTACGTGAGTGTGTTATTTGCAAGCACATAGAACAAAGAAACAGGAAGCGAAAATCTATTTGTACCTGGTGCAACGAGAGCGAAGTCGTGCTGTGTACCATGGATACTTTCATTGATTATTACTCACTTCCAAAGTACTGAATGTGTAATACAGTGTTACTGTGTAAATAGTGTGTGAAACTGGGAGCCGGTCGGCCGAGCGGACAGCACACTGGACTTGTGATCCTGTGGTCCTGGGTTCGATCCCAGGCGCCGGCGAGAAACAATGGGCAGAGTTTCTTTCACCTTATGCCCCTGTTACCTAGCAGTAAATAGGTACCTGGGTGTTAGTCAGCTGTCACGGGCTGCTTCCTGGGGGTGGAGGCCTGGTCGAGGACCGGACCGCGGGGACACTAAAGCCCCGAAATCATCTCAAGAGAAACTGTACATATTGTAATTTTAGTAAATTTTTAACAAGTAATATTGCAACAATAAACATTTATTGTGGATACATTATTGACACATGTATTACAGTTCCATGGAACATTATGAACATTCTACTGTATACATATTGTAAAGGACACAAATATGCATTATATACAATAAAAAAACTAATAAAACTGCATTGGAAATACATAGAACAAATAATTGAAAATATATTTGTGGCAACTCGCAGTGCTTGAATGGGCTGGGTGACCATCTCTGGGAGCCTCACGCACGGGGCGACCAGCACTTGATGACGTTACAGCACACCTTGTCCACGTCCCCACAGCCAAAGTAAGTGGAATTTATTTATTTTTACATAGAAATGTTCAGGGAAGGGAATTTATCATTTTACAAACAATTTTTTTTTGGGGGGGGGGGGGGGGGGACCACTTGATTTCATGCGCACAGGAGGAGTGTCACAATAAACTCGGCACATCACAGTGGTTAACTAAATGCAAATTCTATCAGGTTTCATGTCTTATTGTACATAATTTACATTAAAAGCCTTTAGACACAATATTCAACTGGCATTTACGCTGTATGAATCCTGCTGTGCTTTAATAGACTTCATTTTGTTGAAGACTTTTTGACACACTGTTCAGTGATATGGTTTCTCTCCTGTATGAATCCTTATGTGTCTTATTAGACTTGATTTTGTTGAAAAATCTTTTAGACATTCTGAACAGTTATATGGTTTCTCTCCTGTATGAATCCTCATGTGCGATATTAGATTTGATTTTCGTGAAAAGACTTTTTGACACTCTGAACAGTGATATGGTTTCTCTCCTCTATGAATCCTCATGTGTATTATTAGAGTTGATTTTTGTGAAAAGACTTTTTGACACTCTGAACAGTTATATGGTTTCTCTCCTGTATGAATCCTCATGTGTGATATTAGAACTGATTTTTGTGAAAAGTCTTTTTGACACACTGAACAGTGATATGGTTTCTCTCCTGTATGAATCCTCATGTGTGATATTAGAATTGATTTATTTGAAAAATCTTTTTGACACTCTGAACAGTTATATGGTTTCTCTCCTGTATGAATCCTCATGTGTGATATTAGACCTGATTTTTGTGAAAAGTCTTTTTGACACTCTGAACAGTTATATGGTTTCTCTCCTGTATGAATCCTCATGTGTGATATTAGACCTGATTTATGTGAAAAGTCTTTTTGACACTCTGAACAGTTATATGGTTTCTCTCCTGTATGAATCCTCATGTGTGATATTAGATCTGATTTTCGTGAAAAGTCTTTTTGACACACTGAACAGTGATATGGTTTCTCTCCTGTATGAATCCTCATGTGTGATATTAGAATTGATTTATTTGAAAAATCTTTTTGACACTCTGAACAGTTATATGGTTTCTCTCCTGTATGAATCCTCATGTGTGATATTAGAATTGATTTATTTGAAAAATCTTTTTGACACTCTGAACAGTTATATGGTTTCTCTCCTGTATGAATCCTCATGTGTGATATTAGACCTGATTTTTGTGAAAAGTCTTTTTGACACTCTGAACAGTTATATGGTTTCTCTCCTGTATGAATCCTCATGTGTGATATTAGACCTGATTTTTGTGAAAAGTCTTTTTGACACTCTGAACAGTTATATGGTTTCTCTCCTGTATGAATCCTCATGTGTGATATTAGATCTGATTTTCGTGAAAAGTCTTTTTGACACACTGAACAGTGATATGGTTTCTCTCTTGTTTGTTTCCTCATATGTATTATTAACAATGATTCATATTTAAAGTCTTTTTGACATACTTTACAGTGATATGGCTTTTCTCCTGAATAGGCGCTCATAATTAATTTTTTATATTTTTAAAGTAGTTTAGACAATGAACATTTAATATTGATTTTCTTCTCTAAAAATGTTTTTGTGTGCTATTATGCAAGATGTTTTCATAATATAATTTTGAACATTCAACACTGATGAAGTTTTGCTATTAAATATTCGTACAGATTACCAAGATTAACTAAATGCAAATTCTATCACGTTTCATATGTTTTACTGTACTCGATTTACATCAAAAGTCTTTTTAACACACTGAACAGTAATATAGTTTCTCTCCTGTATGAATCCTCACGTGTCTTATTACACTTCCTTTTGTTTAAAATTGTTTTTCAAATCTTTTTTTTTTTTTTTTTAGAAGTAAATAAATGTATTTACCTGTAGGCAAAAGTTATGTTATCCAAAAACCCTAAGTATTGTATAATGAATTATCCTACATTTCATTAGTTAAGTCTTATAGACAATTATTATTGGTATTTTTCTCCTAAATACATTTTTGTATTATTTATAAATATTAGAGAAAAATCTTAGTTACATATTCACGATGACTTAAAATGGATGACCTTTTGTTCATTACTAAAACAATTATTTTTAAAAGATGCATAAAACACTTGGACTGTCAAATGCATAAATAATTACATTTCAAAGATACAAGAGAATGGAAAAATTGTACAATATGTAAACCACTTGTATTATTCATAAATAATAAGATAATACTGTGCTTATTATATTAGAAAATATGCTAGACATAAAATATACTGTACACTATAATATTTCCTGTGATTCAGCAAGTGCAAAAGCAAACATCCAAATGTACTTTTCCACTTGTGTTCACCAGGAGGAAAGTTAGTGTCTGTGTACAATTTTATAAACAAGCAAAACAAACCCTGTGGCAAGTCTTTTTTCTAAGATTTAACTAAATGTCTAAAAAAATATACAGGATTATATTATAATATTAATACCTAAAATACCTAATAAAACACAAACAAAAAAGGAAGAAGGTAGTAGGATAAAAGACCAGAAACAATATTAGACGGGACCTAAAAAATCCCTCTAATGCGTTATGCGTCCTTTCCTCCAAGGTTATTAAGTCCAATTAGAAATATAGCTCCAGCACTGAAGAATGTTTCATTAAACATATATGAACAGCAGTGAGGGATGTCTTATTATAAATACAGCCACAGTACTGAAATGTCTCATTATAAACAAAACTACAGAACTGAGAAATGCCTTATTATAAAAATAACCATAGAATTTGGGATGTCTTATTACAGTATAATAACAGAGCTGAGGTATGTCTTATTATAAATACCCACAAAACTGATGGATGTCTTATTATAAATACCCACAGAACTAATGGATGTCTTATTATAAATACCCACAGAACTGATGGATGTCTTATTATAAATACCCACAGAACTAATGGATGTCTTATTATAAATACCCACAGAACTGATGGATGTCTTATTATAAATACCCACAGAACTAATGGATGTCTTATTATAAATACCCACAGAACTGAGGGATGTCTTTATTATAAATACCCACAGAACTGAGGGATGTCTTATTATAAATACCCACAGAACTGAGGGATGTCTTATTATAAATACCCACAGAACTAATGGATGTCTTATTATAAATACCCACAGAACTGAGGGATGTCTTATTATAAATACCCACAGAACTGAGGGATGTCTTATTATAAATACCCACAGAACTTAGGTATGTCTTATTATAAATACCCACAGAACTTAGGTATGTCTTATAAATATAGCCGTAGCACAAGTTTCAGGTACAATGGGCCCTCATGTGATTTGTTATTTGTGTATGAGAGTTTAACAAGAAATTACCGATCCAATGTACCGTGTGCATGCTCATAATATTTTGAAATCCCCTATACCTTCATGTAAATATATAAAAAAAATCTGAGCATTAAGAACACTGATATATTATCTTACTTGGAGAGCCTTTTGAGCTACTAGAGTAAATTGCCTAAGAAAAAAAATCAAAATTACTATACAGTTTAAAGATTTATTTTAAATGCTCTCGCAACATTTACAATACTGTAACTCGATAGGAGAAAAGTGTGTAATGTTTTAAAATGGAAAATACATATTAAACTTGTTTACATTGGGACCTAAGGATAAAAGTACCCTGCAAAAATAACTTAAAATTAAAATGTTTTCTTGTCAAACAAAATTATTAAAATATAAATAGCACATACACATAAATTAATAAATACCGAGATTTTAAAATTAACGATACACTAAGTTTGTATTTAAATTCACGTTTCCTTTGTTACCATAGTGCATGAGATGTTGATAATGCTTGCACGGTGCTTCAGATGTGTTACCATGGTGCCGTAGTGCAGGAGAAGTTGATAATAGTGTGTATTCACTTGAACGAACTATATGACGGGAGGTCAAGTTGTTCCTCTGCTGAATTCGTTCTACCAGTCAGCCCCAGGCTGTCTCACTCTTCCATCTGAAGAGAAAAAAAAACAATCCTACATCCAATATAAACAAAAAATCACAGCATATCTATTTGTTATAATTTATCATTTTTAACATGGCACATGATAGAACGATCACTAGTGAACAGTTCCATATCAAAATCATAACTATGTTGTAATTATTTGAGACTGCAAAAACCCTGCAATGAATGTAATGAAACGCCATTTTCTGGGCGAGTCCCGGAGGCTCCCCGGAGCTATCCCAGGCTGATATGCTAATGTCAGACTCTCTCATCAGTCATGTGTATGGAGTTCGTAGGCCTACAGGGGACCACGGCCAGAACCGGGCCCCCTCAGAGAGGCAAGGGGAGCAATGGCCTATAGAAACCTCCGTGTGGTTGGAAGCATTCTATGTCTGCCATCGACCGGATCAGGCACCCAGAAAAGTAAGCGCCCCAAAACAAACCCCTATTCTGGTGAAAATTGCTACCACAAGCCGAACTAGTGGATAGAACTCCCCAACAGAAAAACAAGCAAACTAGTGTGACGTCTCACTAGTTTGTCTGTCTGTGCAGCTCCCTCCTCCCCGGGTGGGGGAAGGGGGAGCCCCACACCTCAGTTCTGAGGCTGGTTGTCAAAAACAAAAAAAACACCGACCAGAGAGGGAGGGATGCCAGGGAGCCTCCGGGACTCACCCAGAAAATAGCATTTCATTACATTCAACACGGGTTTTCTGGGGAAAGCCCTGTTGGCTCCCCAGAGCAAACTACCCACAGACAGAAAAATAGAGGGACTTACCTGGGAGGCGGTCGTCGCTCACTCCTCAACTCGAAGTCGAGACAACTGGCTGCAACTGCCAACCCAAAGCAACACAGGCCCGACGGGGTCTAGGGACATTCACAAGGTAACGAGCAGCCAGGACCCTGTTCGACCGCCAAGAACCCCGAACCCGAATATCAGACCAAGACATATTTCCAAAGACGGCAGCAAGAGCTGCGAACTTACGGACATCATGGGCACAGGGATAGACCACAGGCTGACTGGATTTGATAACCCTGCGGATGACCTGGGAGACCCGAACCCGCGAACAGAGAAGAGAAACCAGATCAAAACAAATAGCATCCCCAGATACAGAAGCCGTGGCACGCAAATAACGGCAAAGCACCACAACTGGACACAAAGCATGATGCACCCCTGGCCGTACCAACCAAGCATCCACCACCCACAGACACCTCCAGAATGCAGCAGTCTCATTCTTCGCCAGAAAAGAAGGAGACAGCTGCAAGCGAACAAAACAATCACCACGACCAAAAGAGCAGACACCCCTGCACCGAAGGAGAGCATGAAACTCCCTGACCCGACCCCCAGAGGCTAATGCCAACAAGAAAAGAGCCTTGGAGAAACAATCCCAGACCGAAGGGGGAACAACGAAACGAGGAGACGAAAGGTAAGCGAGCACTCTGTCCAAAGACCAGGACGGCTCAAGCGGCGCGTGAGCAGGCCGGAGGCGAAACAAAGCACGAGACAGCTTGCAAAACGGCGAAGACGTAGTATCGATACCGAAGGCAAGCTAAGCGGCTCTGCCAGCGCCGCACGATACGAGGCAACAGTGGTAGGCTTAAGATGATGGTCCTGAAACAACCAACAGAGAAAGGACAAGACCACCCTAACAGACAACGAACTAACACGACTAAGATGCAAAAAGAAACAGAAGGCCCGCCAGGAAACTTCATACTGCCGCCGAGAAGAAGCCCTCAGGTGGGACACCAACAAGGAGGCCACCTGATCACCATAGAGATGATGATTGACTCGAGTCAAAAAAACCATTCGCGAAGACTCGAGGAGAAGACCGAACCAGCCACGTGACGTACCGGCCCAAATCTGCTGAAAAAGGTGGAGCCACAGGAAAACCCTCTGATTCGGACACCGAGCAAGCAGCGCCTGAAACCAAGGCTGGCCGGCCACCAAGGGGCCAGAAGGACAACTCTCCCCTGGTAAGTCTCCAAGCGAATCAGGACCTGGAGCAACAGCTGAACCGGGGGAAAGAAGTACAGGAACCCCCCCACCTCGACCAGTCCAGCCGAAAGTCATCGACCCCGACGGCCTCACGATCGGGAAAAGGCGCCACACACACGGGAAGGTGACTCGACCACGCCAACGCGAAGAGGTCCACCTCGGAGCGCCCGAACATCTGGCAAAGCCAATGGAAGGAAGCGTCGCCGACCGTCCACTCTGTGGAGAGGGGAACGAAGCGAGACAGGCCGTCGCCCAAGACGTTGGACACTCCCTGCACGTGAACTGCCAGGAGAGCCAAACCCCCGAGAACTCAGCAGACGAATCACCCGAAGTGACCAACCCCAAATAGACAAGGACCGCATCGAACCCCCGCGGTTCAGACAATGAACCACCTGAGAGCAGTCCGAATGGAGCCAAATCGTCGATTCGCGGATGACCCGAATCCTCCGAAGAGCAAACCACACCTCCGCGAACTCCGGCACCGTGCTGTGAGCTCGACGGAAGGATGGATCCCAACGCCCCTGGCCGGCCTGGTGAGCACTGGTCACAAAGCCCCAGCCGAGAGACGACGCATCTATGTACACATCGAGCGAGGGCTCGGGTAGACGCCAAGGCACTGAACCCCGAAAAACCCGAAGAGGAAGCCGGCGATGCAGCAGCCAACGCAAAGCCCCCGGGGGTTGAACCTAGCAATCGCGAGAGGTGGAAGGGGCAACCCCGAAGGAACCAGAACACCCGATGAAGCCAAACCCGACCCGGCGGGTAAAATACCATCGCGAAGTTCAGGCTCCTGTACAGCCCCTCAAGCAACCGCCGGGTGACTCAAGGGCCCACCAAAAACAGACGAAGGCGGGACCGCAGCCGCAGGAGAGACTCCGGAGGGAGAGACAAGGAAGCGGTACGAGAGTCCCAAACGAGACTCGGCCAAGTCCGAACCTGAGAGGGGACCAGAAGGGACTTCCTCCATTTCACCAAGAACCCGAACCCGGCGAGCTAGGAAAGAACCAAATCCCTGGCTAGCAAGCAAGCTGACTGGCTGGGAGCCCAAACCAGCCAGTCGTCGAGGTAGGCCAACACCCAAACACCTAAGAGATATAAACGGGCCACCACGACCCGTGTAAGGTGCGTGAACACGTGAGGTGCCAGGTTCAACCCGAACAGGAGACAACAAAAGCGGTAACTTAGATGCTCCACAACAAAACCGAGCCAGTCCCGGAACCTCGGATGAATCGGGACATGCCAATTTTTGGATTCCTGGAATGCCAGGAATCCAAAACAAACAAGGGGCAGTCCGCTAGCCAGGAAGACTCCAGACCCTCGTAAAGGAGCCAGAAAGGGAACGAGTCCCAAACCTAACTCAGACGGATCCATTTTCGAGGCATAATCCGGGTCACGCAGGAGGTACGTTGCAAGGGCCGCCCGCACCACACCAGGATGGATGCGATGAGCCAAAAACCTCTGGAAAGATGGAACCGACGCACCCGGGGGAACACAGAACCGAACCCGAGAAGGGGCCGACACCAAATCCAATTTGTACGCTGAGGGGGCTAAGAAAACCCCACACCCTGAAACAACAAGCCCCGCTCAGAGGGAAGAAAAAACCCAGGTGGGGTCCAGCGGGGCCCAATGCCTCCAAGTCAGCCCCTCCCCAGCCACGGGGTCCTTCACCACAGGACCCGAGGCCGAGTCCTCTCCCCAAGCCCCGACCCCACAAGACAAGGACGGAGCAGCCGTAGAAGCCGGAAGAAAGAGGGCCCACTGGTCAGACCCAGAAGCTTCGGCCGGGAGACAAGACTCTAATGCCTCTGCCGCCCTCCCGGAAGGGGCATCCCCCGAAGCTGCCCGAGTCTCGAGATCAAGTGATGCCCCTGCCCCTTAAGTAATAATAATCCCTGCTCCGACTCTGAAATCCTCAGATGCTTAGGGGCCGGAAGCAAGGGAGGGGGAGGACCAGAACGAACAACAGAAGGGGAAGGACGAGGAGGTGCGGACTGAACCAGGATCGAAGTGACCCCCATCCCCACGTCCGGGTCTCGAAAAGCATAGCGGGCCTGGGGCATCTGGGTGAGCAACCAACTGAGCTCGTTGCAACAGACGAAATCTAGCTTGCAACGCACGTGCGGCCTGTACCCGAATAGAATCATCAGAGGATTGGGTAAATTGAGTCTCAAGCAAGCAGCAACACTCACAGGACTCAGGGTCGAAAGTATCACCAACCCAACAGGCAGCATGCCAGAGGCAAAAACAATGAGGGTCACCCCGAGACAAGGGGATCGAGCAACCCTCAAACTCACACAGCGAGCGGGTACTCCGGGGTCACATCCATCACCTCATGCACCCCCTAGGGGATTCCCAGGGTTCTGAGCATTTATTTTAAGAGGACTTGCACTCAGGTAGTCCCAGGCAGGGTGCGGCTAACCGGCGCCCAAAACTACCAAGCAAACTTCTATAGCTGTACCTCAGGGACGTGTACACTCATGGGGACCTAGCTGGGGGCCCCCACCGAGGAGAACCATGGAAGGGCAAACACCTGTGGAATAAGAGGGCAGAACCCCCCACAAGGCAAAAAGAAAAAGAAAAACAAAACCCCGAAAGAGGACAGCGATTACCAAGGAACAGAGCCGGCCGCTATTTCGGGAATACAAAGCTGCGCAGCACCCTGCGCTCCTACCAGTGCAAACTGCCTCTTACCTGCAGGTAACGAGGGATAACAGAACACCCAAGAGCCCATCAGGCGGCCGAAAAAAACAACAGTAGAACGGACCTGCAAAGGCAGATCCCGAGAAGCCTGTGGAAGGTGGCCCCAAGCTCCAAGGGCATTACTGTAACCCTGCGATTATCCGGGATTCGAACATCCAGAAAACACCCTTATACGGGCAAAATCGAGACCAGATAAAGTTCTCAATATCCAGCTAAACTGACCACAGGAGCCGGATAAAATATCGGAGCCAGTTAATTTGCTGCCGATGTTACACTATCTGGACAGTCAGACGGATAATCATGGAATTGTCTGTAT